TTTATATTTTTCTTTCGAATAAAATTTATCTTGGCTAGGTGTAGACCTATACTGTCTTTTATGATATTTATTTCTATGCTGTTTTTTAGGTTTATGTGTTTTTGAACATTGTCCATCACATTTCTGTGAAGTAGTTATGCTATAATCAAATTGTTTACAAAATGACCCTAATTCTTTTTTAGTTTTCTGCATTTCATATTTTATTGTTCTTTGAAGTTTTAAGTCATGACAAATCTGTAAACCCTCTTTTTGTATAATACTAATTAGTTGTCCAAATGTTAATTTAGTATATGGTATAGGTTGTCCATATTGTTGTTTAATATTATTTCTAACTTTTTCTCCTAAAAAATATGGTAATCCAGCCAAAAACTTTTCTTTCCAAAAGCTTTGGTTAGAGTCTTCTCTTAACATTAATCGAGTGAGAAAAATCATTTTATAATTTTGAAAATCACCTAAGTTTTTTACATTTTAAATTACTAAGTAACTCTGCATTTTTATCTTTTAAATGAAATGGATCACCAATAAAATGAAGTGAAATAGTGAGAATTAAAGATGATACTGCATCTTGAATTACTTCACCATATTCATCATATATAGGTTTATCCTCATCATCTAAAATGACAGCTGCATTAAGTGAGAAATTCAAAGATGATACTGGCATCTGATTACGTTCACCATTTTCATCCATATAGTAGGTTTCTATCAGCTCATCCATCTACTTTAACTGGACATTTAAAACTTTCTTTGATGTTCGTTGGTCCAGTTCAGGTGATCAATCCCGACCACCTTTAAGTTGTCCGGGTAAAAGCCAAGCCACCTGATTAAATATTCTGCAGACGCTTTATCAGAAATAAGTTGACCTGAGTTTTATAAGACAGTGCAGCACAGTGTCCATTTGTTGCAAATACTTAAATTATATCACTTAAACATTCTATGTTCCATTCATCAGACTTGTTGACATCTATATTTTAAATTGAGGAATAATATAGGCTTTTATCAATTTACTACGTCTGGTGCCCTACCTTTCAACTAGTTTCTCTATGATGCACTTCTATAGATTGATTTAATTGATTTAATTATCTTCTGAGTCAGGTTCACTAACATCAGAGTTGGTGTTTTCTTCTAACATATTTATATTTCTTGATGCTTGAGAAGTATCCTGAGCTACTTGTTGAGTAGTCGCTGAGTGAACTTCAATTTTACTTAATTGGTCTTTTAATTGGTTTACAAATTCATTTTTACTTGACTGTGAAATTTGATAAGGTTTAAACATGTGAGATTTTACTGTCTCTTTACCTTTTATATGCTTATGCTCTGTGATTAAAGGTTTTTCTTCTAATATTTGTTCTATACATTTTAACTGTGAATTTAAACAAATTAAACTGGCATTACTAAAATTATTTTGTTCAATAACTTTTTTATTGATATCATCTTCTTGAGCTAATTTATATGGTGCACAAGTGATTTCAATATCATGATGTTTCATTTTACTAATTGCTTTAGGTGGAGCACAAATAATTTCATTGTCTTGATATTTTAATTTACTAATTGTTTTAGGAGGAAAATCATTTTTTATTGTTTGATCATTTACTATCCATTCTGGTCTTTTATCTCTAATAGTTATTGGGTTTATACTTCTATCAAAATTATTTTCCTTAATTAAATTATACCAATCAAAGAAATTAATCTTAGTTTGATTATTGATTTTATATTCTAAATATTCATATTTTAATTCTTCAAAAGAGTAAGTTTTTAATATCTGTTTCATTTTAATTAAATTTTTAGTTTTAGATATTTCTTTTATTAAACTTTTCTCAATATCTATTTTACTAAGAACATTCAATTCTCTGTTTATATCACTAACATTTTCAGTGATAGCTGAAGCTGTTGGTGATTCAGGTGAATCAACTAAGGTTGACTGTTGATTTACATAATTATCTACAGGGTTATAAACTGTCTGTGGTATAGAATTACTATAATCAACACCCTTCATTTTACTTGGAATATCAGAAGTTGAATATCTTGGTTTTACTATGGTTTGAGTTTATATTCATTATCTTTGTATTTAGCATAAATCACAGAAGGTATGGAGGAACTAGGTTTATCATTTTCATCTGTTGTAATAGAGGAAGATGACCCTGTATACCTCATTGTATCCTCATACTTGGACTGCGATAAATTTTAAAGGTTACTTTAACCATCTTCAAATTGGTTCAATTTTTTTGCAAATTGAACATTTGGTTTTACTGGTTTCGGGAATGGGAGGAGGTACCTACCTTCCAAAATCCATTCATACGGAAAGTGTGATATCCTTCCATCTGTATAGTTAGAATCACGGTATTAGTTTTAGTTAAATCTGTTTTGCACAAAAATCCTTGTTTTCAAACTAATTTTAGGTTGTAACTTATTTTAGTTCCAAAAGCCTGAATTCATTGCTTTTAATAATGAATTTTATATACTTAAAGCTATAGGAATTATTCCTTGCTTCATCTTATAATTATGAAGTTTTTTAATTTCCAAAACTCTACTTTCTAAAATATTTTAATCATTTTATTGAAGACAGTCATATCTGGATAGACTAAAAGGAGATCGGTCCTTCACTTAAGCTTAGTCTCAACTGATCCTAATAAATGAATTCTTAAATTTAAAAATCTTAAGCATCTCTTACTACTGGCATGAATAACTAGTATTAATCCTTCTTCTTTCGTTAAAGGTTTTATTCCTACTTCTTGAATTTAATCCTATATGAATATATTTATATTTTTTACTTTTATGAATGTTGGCAAAGTTTTAGAAGAAACAAAAGAGTTATCCTTCAAAAGTTTTTACTTAATTGAAAATCTCTTTCTTCGGTTTTATATTTACATAATCTGTTTTAAATAAATTAAATTTTAGAAACTTTTAAATTTTGTTCTTTATCAACTTTAGGAATTTCCATTCATCAATTTGCTTTACTAAAAATCTTGCAAATTAATTCATTTCCTATTTATAACCTCCTTTTAATTTCTTGAGTATCTGAGTCTTAGATTTATTTACTCTAGCCGATCTACATAATAAAAAGGATCCATTTTATATATATACGATTAAAATTTTTTGACTACCTGGTTTAACCCTTCTCCTGGTTATACCCGTTAGATGCCACTCACATGGGACTTACTCATGGGTTCAGTAGGCGTGGGTTCAGTAGGCAAAGCCAAAACCTTTTATTATAAATCATAAAATGAAGACTTTATATGTATATATTTCAACACGTAGCACTAAGTCTAAGGCTCTGATACCAACAAAAGGCATCTAAAAGGTATAATTGATAAACCTAATACTATATCTCAATTGATAAACCTAATAGTATATCTCAATTTAAATATAATCTTCAACAATCTATGAATGGAACATAGATGGTTTAAGTGAATATAATATATTAAGTATTTTGCAACAAATGACAATGGCTGCAAATGCTTATAAATAAAAGGCAAAGGATTATGACAAATGGAAGAAATAAAGCCTTCCGGCTTTTGAGAGTACCTTGGTTATTAAACGTATAAGTAAAATGTGGGCAATTAGATCTAAGAATCTCCAATAATTTGCTACCTATAAAACCAGTAATTCATTATTCATGTATTATTTGATTATATTTATTACTATAATAAAAAACTTGTTTTGCCAATCTAAAAACTAAATACACTAAGTTCAACAACAACAAAAATATTAAATATTCTCTTAATAAATAATGTAAATAATGAAAATAAAGATTTATTAAATTTTAAAAAGTTATTGAGCTAATATTTACCTTCTAAAATGAAATTAAAAAAATATATTTATCTTAGAAGGTCATTATGTAAATAATATTTTAAGTTTATTGTATTGCTAATCATAATATAATTCATAATTTAATTTTTATGCACTCCTACATTATTAGTTATAATATAATCATAACTCAACTTTTTTTTTACTAAAATTATTCCATAATTTATGTAATTCTAATTGTTTAATTTGAATTTTATTTGTGCTATACGAAAAACAATTCAAAACTTTAGTTTTTGAATTTATCTATTATAAGCTTGACTCTGTATAAAAACAAGTTTATCATCTATTAGGTTTCAAAATAATAATAGGATTAATCGAACACATAATAGTAATTACATTATTAAATATAATGATTGATAATCAAATTTATAACACTCACTTTAATTTTTAATTAAAAATTTAATATTTGTGCTTTTTAAAATTTTATTGTAAACTTCCTAAAAACCATAACCAATTGTTTTAAAAATATAAATTCAAAATTTATTTTCATATCAGAATTAATTATAAATTATATAACCCATTTCTATAAACTTTTTTAATATATATTAAGATTGTTTATAGATACTGATTGTTAATAGATCTTTATAAAAAATAATTATTTTAAAATATTATTTATTGTTGGTTTGAAATAATTTTCAAGTACCTTACGTTTTATATTAAAATAATTTTTAGTTTTCCAAACCACAATTGAACATGCAATCAATAGAATTCATCTTCATATAATTTAGTTATACAAAAAAAAAAAAATGAAATCTTTAGAAAAGTTTATTGTGTTTTAAGGAAAAAATGGTTTTTTAAAAGTTTAAAAAAAATTAAAAAAGAAAAAAATAGATAATCTTATCACCTGTCTAGCTGGCTAGCATTATGTATTATAGTAAAAGTCAAGTTGTAATTAGCTTGCATTTGTCTCTACTGTTTGGCAAAAAAAAAAAATTTTTGGTTGAAAAAAATAAAGCACAAAAGTTTTTTTTAAAAAAAATGGATATGTCCGGGCCAGTTTGGCGGGCCGTGGCCGAGCCTGAATACTGGAGTTTAGCTCGATCCGTTTTGACACTGAGCCCATGGAGGCCCGCCCGGCCGCCCGTTCTGACAATACTACCATACAGTTCTATGTTAAACGAGAGTTAAAAAAAGGGCTTCGTATTAAATCAGAACCGTTCATCCCTTACGAAAAATTTTCACATCCATGTGCATATTTAGAATAGCTTACAAATATTTTTCTAAAAAGCAAAAAGCTCCAGTAAATGGATTCAACTCTGACCCGAATATCTGCTCCATTTTCGCTTAGTCACGCTCTCCTTTTGATCAATTCTCAAAGCCTAAATTCTCTATCACATTCTCTATCATCGAGAAGAATTTCTGTTGGGACAATATTATGTTCCAATTCGAAGCTGGAAATAAGCACTCTCAAAAGCGATGTCGTTTTTAATGAGTCCGCTTTCGAGGCTGACAGGTTAAGACTCGACTCTAAGGCTCGAGAATCTATGGCCGAGACTTCTAAGAGGGAAATGGACGCGGGTATAGAAGATGACCCGAAAGCTTGGAAATGGGTCATCAGGAAGAGAATATGGGATTTGATGGAGGCCCGTAACTTTGCTCAGAACCCACGTCCCGTTCACCATCGAATCCCAAATTTTGTAGGAGCCTCAGCCGCTGCTAATTTGTAGGAGCCTCAGCCGCTGCTAATAATGTAAATCTCAGTTCTTATTTCCTGTTTTGTGGTTTGTTTTATTTTGGCTTAATTACTAAAACACTGCGTGGTGTTTCGTATAATCTATACTTTTGGTGCCTGTTGTTGTAAAATTAGCAGTTCTTTTAATTTAGGAATAATGTTGATTCCCTCTGAACTTGTTCACTATGTGCAATTTATTCAAAACTGGTCTTTTGGGTCGGTTTTAGCGGTAGCTTTTATACATATATAAGATTAATTGTTTTTGTGATGGCAGTTGGCCGGGTTGGAGGTGTTTCAGAATGCGGGTTGCGTGAAGGTTAATCCGGATTCTCCCCAGAAGCAAGTCAGGTTTCTCACGCTCTCTGGTTAGTCTTTTCTTGTTGTTTGTTTGTTTATTTTAATTGTATCTGCTGGATTTTTGGGTGGTTTTAAATTGAGAGGGCGATATAAGCACAGGTGAAAAGAAGCTGTTGACTCCTCAACCCCGTTTAAGGACAGGGTTTTTCTCTGTTCTTGAATCAAATATGTTGTCTCCTAACACCATTAATGAAGCATGCACCTCTGTTGGGGTTGCCAAGTATGGAAGGCCAATTGGATTGGATGAAAAGATCAAGGTTGATCTAATTGTCATTGGATCGGTTGCTGTCGACCCAAAAACAGGTGCTAGACTTGGCAAGGGAGAGGTAATAGCTTGTTCTATGCTAAAAATCTTATTGCATTGCAAGTTTTAAACATTCAGTTGTGTGCAAGACAATGCACGTTAAAGTTTCCAAGTTTTGCCTGTATATTTTGGTTTTAAGATTTGTAATCACACAACACTTCAGGTATTAATTATATATTTATGTGTTTTTTAAATAGATTGCATCTTAATCCTTAAAACTTTAAATCAATTGCACTATAGTCTATAAGATTATTAAATTTTAACACTTTAGCCCCCTGAATCTCCCAAAATTTTGTACTTTTTTGCCGATGGTATTATATGGGCTAAATTATAATAATTTGAAAATAGTATATGGGCTAAATTATAATAATTTGAAAATAGTTTGGACCAAATTTTGTATTAAGGTAAATCTCATTGACTTTTTTAATTAACCCTTGTAAGGTTGAAATTTCTGCTCTTTTGGAATTTTGATTTGTTGGGTGCCAGTAGGCCAATTGGTTGCATGATTAAAATTCTATTAAACCAAATAATTTGTTGTATCCGTTTTGCTTTTTGTACATATGATTGCTTTCATGCTTAGGCTCCAAAGAATTTCACTTGTCAAGTCTGCACAGTGTATGTATTTATTAACTTTAGTTTATTCAATCTTTCAAACTTGCTTGTTTTGTCGGTGAATCTTGATGTGCAAGGTTTAGCCTTCAATTAACTTTTAGAGTTTTTGTTCACATCATAGTGTGCATTGAATTTTTTTTTTTTTTTTTTTTTTTTCTTTGAGAGTGGAAATGATTTTTGAAAGCATTAACTTATTCAATCCCTTTCTACTTTGAGAGTGGAAATGATTTTTGAAACTGTGTGAAATCATAATGCCAATTTGCAACTTTAGATTCTACAATGTTGGTGAAGGAGTAATGCGGTGCAGGGATTTGCAGAACTTGAATATGGAATGTTGCGGTATATGGGAGCCATTGATGACTCGACTCCAGTTGTCACCTCTGGTAGGTGCATTAGTAGTTCTAGATCCTGCTTTCCACCTTTGCCTTGCCTCTTAGCAAATGTGATTTGCTTTCTTAATTACATGAAAGCAAAAAATACAATTTTCTTCATGAAATGACTAGATTTTAAATCTCTCTCTGTCTCTGCTTAATTGCTCTTGCAGTGCATGATTGCCAAATTGTAGATGATATTCCAGTTGAGAAAATGCTTATCCATGATGTTCCCGTCGACATCATATGTACTCCCACCCAAGTCATATTTACAAACACAACCATCTCCAAGCCTCAAGGTTTGTGACCCAATGAAGTTGATAGTTTATGTTTTCAGAGCATCACCATTAAATGGAAATTTCTTTGCGTGTAGGTTTGCGTGTAGGTATATACTGGGAAAAATTGTCTCCTGAGAAGCTTGGCCAAATAAGGATACTAAGAGAGCTCAAGAGGAGAATTGAGAGGGAGATTGTGCAGAAACTTCCCTCTGGACCGTCTGAAAAACTACCCCCTACAGCTCGGAGAAAGAAATGAAATGACTCCGGACGACTTCAGACGAGATTCTGGAAAGGATGAAAAATTAGATAATATGTTCATTTGTGTTATCTAGTTTCTGGCTTAAAGCGATAATTGCAATATACAATGTTGTGTTTCATGAATTCGTGATTGTAGATCCTTATGCATATTGTATATACAGTATAATCTCTGTAAATTAATACTTTTGAAATCATATAAATCTCTGTAAAACTCAAAAGGGTTTGAGAAGTTGAAGTTATGATATTGATTTATTTTGTCGTTTTGGAGAAAGTGGATTAATTGATACAGAAGACATGGAAAATAAATTGCAGTTCATAAGGAAAACAATAAATTAGTTTGCCATGAAAGATGTTTCAGATCTGGATTAAACATGATTCTCCTATAAAGCAACTTGAAGGGAAAAAAATAAAATAAAATAAAGAAAGGCTTACGATCTCTGTTTCTTGCAGTCAGGATGATTCAGAAAAATTTCCATTTATCTGAGTCTGAATCCTCAACGAGTACGCAAAATCATGATGCTTCAATAATGTAAACATCAATGAAACAATTGATCATTGTATCTCCAGCAAAATAGGTCAGATTTCAACCGTCTCATTTCGAAAAAACATTTTTCAAATTTTGGGAAAATTTTTTTTCACCAATTTCTTTAAACAAATTTGGAAAATATTTTTGGGCTAGGGACGTGTACCGCCACCCTCCCTTCATTTCTGGACGGGTACTAGCGAGACATAAAAAGAACATTCTATATTTTTATGTATTCTGAAAAAAAATTATATCAATAAAAATACATTATTATTATTAGCAAATTTATATTTTTTATATTAGCAAATTTATAGAAATGTTTAGCATAAGGCTGGTGTAACTTAGTTGATTTGAGTGTATGGCAGTTGTTCATAAGGTTGAAGGTTCAATCTATTTTTATAACGTTTTTTTTATTTTATTTTCCATTTTTCAACTTTCTTTGCAAAATATTTGAACTAAAATCATGTGAAATTCATTTCATTTGCAGATGAATTCATAAAAAAATAAATCATCTCTAAATAGCTTGTTCAATATAAATGAAGTCAATAATTTAATGTTTGGTATAAATGAAAATTTATTTAAAATTTACATTTTTAATTCTATAAAATTAATTGTAGTTTGACTAAATTCTACTAAAATTAATAAAATTTGCAACTCATTTCTAAGCTTTAAAAGAGTACAAGATTTGAAAATCAGTGAGCTTCTACCTATCTAGAATGAATTCTACTATTCATCCAGTCATATTTACAAATATTTTTTTTTTAATGAAATTCATTTGCAAATGAAGTGATATTAAATGCTATAATGTATATTTACTATGAAAATTTCAAGTTTGAATTACCATAGAGTTCATTAAAAATATGTAACTTTACTAATTTATATTTGAAATGTATTAGCTCTATATCTTCTATTCCTTGTAAGTTAAGAATTCATTTGCATTATATTCTACCAATTTTGGTAAAATTTAATCTAAGCGTAACTAATGTATACTAATTCCACTCCGTCAAACATAAAAATAAAAGGTAGAATTTCTAAACGAATTTAATAAAATTTATTTATACCAAACAAGCTTTTAATTTGAATTGCAATAAAACATTTTAGACTTTCTAAAGTAGGATTTTAACGAGAAATAATCTAAAATTGCAAATCATATTTCTCACAAAGTTCAGAATATTTTTATAGAATATTTAGATTCAAACCATTGTTTTGGTCATACCACGTGAAATGAGATGGTTCAAGACAATTACTCAACTCTCGTCTTTGGCAGTTTGAATAGCATTTAACATTTAGGTTTTTGAATAGTTTTTCGTCAAATACTAAAAATTAAACATTATAAGTTAACTTTTTATAAAACACTATTTTAATTCAAAACGTTATGTCACGTAATACTATAAAAAACAGCAGCCTTTGTCTGGGAAAAAGGAAAAAAAAAAAAAAAAAGTATCCTATCCATTTCAGTTCATGGAGAAACAAGTGGGTAACAACATTGTTGGCTACGAGGATAACCTTTCCCATCACACCAACCAATGGAAAATTCAATACTGGAGAAGAAAGTGACACCAAAACTTTGTTTATAGCTATTGCTTGGCAAATAAAATAGATATCATATTCTGTAACATCATCATATGATAGATTATGACTCTACTAAATGCATGAGAGTCCAGAGACAGAGAAACGATCAGGTGCGTGCGTGTGCACACAGTGTCTTCACACAAAATAAAAGGGGAGCATTTGCTATTTCGTGCAAAAATAAAAGGGGAGCACTTGCTATTCACCTGGTGAATCGTTTGTACCAGTAAAAAAAAAAAAAAAAAACCCAAATTGAATATTGGGACTTCCTAGAATTTAATGACTGCTGGTTAATCGCAAGAAAGAACTGGAGCTAATCAGCACTTCCTTTACCAGGAATACTTGTAAAACAAGGATGAATACATCACATTGGCGAAAATCTAGTCTACAGGTTTAAAAAAAAAAAAAAAAAAAAAGTGGATATTGGGACTTCCTATGAATTTATGACTGCCTTTATCCAGAGCAAAACTGGAGTACTCAGCACTTTCTTTACACTAGGAAATTGTAAAAGATGAAATAATACATGTGCAAAACTTAGTTTACATGGTTTCACCTTTCCATATGTTAGTGTATTCTCTCAATGGCTAAATCTCTGTAAATATAAACCCAGCCAAGGACAAATCTGCCACCTTTTGGCTTGTCAAACCATTCGTATCCTGTAACAAAAATCTTCAATGAATCAAACGAGAAATCGGTAAGTTGCAAAATACATCAGTTATTACAAAATAATCCATATTTTGTACCTTCGTATAAGTCTGCTCAGAGGAATCCTATTGCTTTGATGAGGTATCCTTTCTGTAGAAGATATTAACTGTGGCATTGTCATACCGACTGAAACAATAATCTCTGTATCACAAAGAAGAGGGTGCAGGTCAGCAAAATTCAAGCACGTGGCAGTATGAATTGAAACTAGCTGAAAATAGTTGGGCATCAAATCATTATAATTTCATGGCACATGTACAGTCATGAAGATGTTCTAAATTGGTCCAGTTAAATTAATAATGCCCGAAATCACTTGAAGCTAACAACAGAACTGTGACAAGTACCATGTTTTTATTTATTACATGAAGCGTAATATATTTCAATACGTCAGATAGCTTTACTAATTTGATCCCTGCAATTCTATATTTCAGCATACACAACCATATTTCTGGTTTTTCAACATTTTTATTTAATTCCCAGATAATTAGCACTAGCAGATATATTATAAAACCATCAGTGCTTTCAGCTCTTCCTTAGCAACAGCAACCAAAGTAGGTTAGTAAGAAAGTTTAAGGACCAGCATTCATGACTTCTTCAAATTTAGCTTTCAAATGAAAGATTAGAAACAGATCCAGATCACTTGGTCCTAGACTAAGTAGACTTGAGAACAAGTGATAAAATTATCAGTCGTTATGTTATCCAATACATGTGAAAAAATAATATATCATAAGGTCTCCTATGAGCTTTAGTCTTATAGGATTAGCTGTTGGTTACAGTTAAATATCATTAGTCATAATTGAACCTGCCACCAAAGTATACAGTTCTCATGAAAGTTTTCTTTGTCCAAACTATAACCACTAATAGCAATCAACTAATTGTTGACAAAATGACAAAGCTGTTAGCGTGAAATCCATTAAAAAAGTAGAAATGCAATTGGTGAAACGAACTTGCATGACCACTGTGAACTTCCACTGCCAAGTTCAGTCACCACAGATAAAATTTCCTTATTGTACCCACTTGACACTCTCTATTAAGCACATATCTAGGAGAGAACTATACACTCACTATGAAGATGGATCTAGAAGAGAAAATACACCAGAAAACTGATTTTTGAAAATATAAAATACTATGCCATAAAGCTAAGCCATTGAAACAAAAAAATGCATTTGGTGTTCTATTGTTTAAAGTACCTTATATTCTTACTCACAATACTGCAGTATACTTGTGCAAGCACCACTCGGTACTTGATACATTTTCTCTTGTGTTATAAAAAGTTTCATATTTAAAAGTTTAGAAATATGCAATCCAGGTAAGCATACTCAAATCTGGTGAAAGCAAAAATTATTCGAAGAATGGGCTTCATTTTTGAAGTTCTGGATATATAATAGGGCCAAGCTGGAAAGTATTTGTAGGGATACAAATATGAGATAAATATAGCAGCCCAGCAGAAGCATTCATGCAGACTACCTCCTCTCCTAAGACCTGTAGAATATATAGCTGTCATAATAGATCAACTACTGGGCCATTCCATGTAATCAAAATCTTCACAATTCTTGCTTCTAAAATTAACGCATGAAGCTAGCAAGTTGGTGGGAAAAAGAAATCAACGTGTCAATAAGGTGAAAGATTATTGATAGGCATGTGCATCAATATTTGAAAGACATTATTTTTCCCCTATATGCATAGTAAAGGATAATCAAATTGCACTTGTACGTGTGGAAGAGTGTCAAACTGTCAATTCTAAAAGAATCTCTTTCTCCTAAATCAAAGAGGCATTTTAACTGCCCAGCAAATTTTCTATCTTATATTGGCCATAACGCAGATATGATTTTCATTTTAATTAAAATTGAAGAGATCAAATTGATATGAAGCATCATCAAGGAAAAAGGGGACACAAAGCAAACAAATTTGCAACAAATTTTCAAGAGATTTGTAGCTAAAAACCCATAGCTCGTGTCAATGGAATTGAAGTTAGAAATCACACCTATGCCTTCTCGAATAGACAAGTTTGGTCTTATGACCTCTTCAGAATTGACCAGAAATATGTCGCCAATGTACAGATGATTTGTTGGGACATAAACGCTGCATAACTCTTCATCTCCATCTTCTCTCTGGAATGAAAATTGAAAAGATAACAAACATATTGGTAAGGAATAAACCCAAAGAGACACTAACTGTGAGTCAAAATCATACGAACTTTGTGTTTCATGCAATAAAATGAAAGAGCATCAGGTACTCTACAACTTAGGACTTCAAATTGATATTCCAGAAGGACTAATTTCTTAGGATTTAGTTTTGTTATTTAAGTAAATATTTCAAGAAAGAAATTAGCATTTTCATGGAATTGCCCAAGGCCCCAAGGAAACCTGTGGATGATGGGTTTATTGCCAGTGATAATTCAAAAGAAAGTTCCAACAAGAAGCAAATGAACCTGATGACATTTGGCACAAATGAGATACTTTCAACCTTTTTCTTTCTTCACTCCGTTAGTTTTTTCTGTTTTTATTCAGTTTAATCATCTTGGTAAATTTCTACTAGTTAAGCATGCATAATTCTTCTAGTGATGAAGAATCCAAGTACCCACGACACCAAACTGTCAAAATTCTCTTACCAAAAACATAATTCCGCAAGCACTATATTAAACTGTCACCATCTCTTGGAATTACAGAGAAGTAGGGAATATAGCTTCCTATTTTCAAGAAGGTGCAATAATAACTTTTTTTTGCCCAACATTTCTTTTTTAAAACACAGCCTTTCGAAAGGTAACGCAGTAAGAAGAGATTGCTTTAGTGATTTCTTTTGATTTCCTACTTTTGATCCATACAAGTTAAGCAAATATGTCTTAACTGAACTCAAGTTGGTTCTGGAAGCAATTTAAGCAAATTTTCAAGTAGAATCAAGATATTTAAATTAGATGAATAAAATTCACCTGAAGGACAACAGATGATGTGATGAAACCAAATGCATATTCACCATGGCGAGGATGACGAATAATGGCAACCTCTTTAAAAGCAGTCGTATTTTGGTCTGCAAAAAAGAGGAGTTAATAATTACAGAAATTAAGTGGAGTACGTAAAGGTTGCAAACATTAACTTGCTGATCCACTTAATGTCACAGATGTATCTACCACAAATGCAGATGAAGCACCAAAATACCATATACGGTCATTAATAGCAGGTCACTAGAGGTGCTTCCCAAATCAAAAGGAAATTTCTACATAAAGATAAACCCATTATACATTAATGCCCAAACCTAAAGAAGGTCCATTACGTGTTTGAAAACATAACATATCCATTACAATGAATTCCCATCTAATTTTCAACACGTGAATATTCAGTAAATTTTAAAGTACTAAGCACTGCGTGGACTGGATGCGGCACTTCATATATCCATTGTACTTGCTCAATAGAGACTAAAAAAATTTCCCACTACATGGGGAGAATAAAATTGAAGATATTGCTAAATATGAGCCAAATTCTTCTAAATCATGGCATATCTTCCATATTCTGCATTTAGTGGTGTTCTTGGAAGGTTTTGGAATGGCATAGTAATAGTAAAGCAATCTGTATCAAGATTTGCTTTCATGAGTATTTGTTGAAAAATTTGCTTCTATCAGAAACAGAAAGGCTAAGTACCTAAAACATTTCAAGACATAAAAATCTTATATGCATCTGCTATCAATTTTGAGAAAAATAACAAGTGATAGTATGATTCCATCATTCCTGACCTTGTTAGTGATCGTACTTAACAAAACATGATATGATAATAAAGCAAATACCTGGAGAAATAGCAGCACTAATTTGCTTGGAAGCTGAGTATATATGCTTCATAAATGGCATTCGCTTAATAAACCATTCTCCAATCCAGAAAACAGTGGCACCCAACCATGATGAAGCGAATATCCCAACAAAGAATATAAAAAGCAGCGAAGTAATAAATCCAAGGCCTGTCTCAGACAATATAGCAAAAAATCATCAATGAAAATGATAATCAGCAACCATGTTTACTACAAAATTTAATCAGGCACTTACTCAGCTTATAAACAAAATTAAGTGCCAAAATGTCTTACCAAATATGTCAATGCCAAGTTTAGCATATATTGGACTGAAGAAACCATCAACAAACTGGATAAACCACCATGTCACCAAAAAGGTAACAGCAACTGGAAACAGAACCACACTGCAATGTCACCATTTCCAATCATGTTATGATTAGCAACAAACCAGAAAACAGAGAACTTTTCAAAAAAAATAAAAAATAAAAAAAGAAAAGAAAAGGAAACCCTTACTAAGCTCATTACCATCCAGTCATGAACTTCGTTGAAACCCAACTCTGAAGAACAGCATAACAAGCCTGATTAAACAAACAAGAGATCTATTAGTTTTCGAGATTTGCTAAAGAAACAAAGCGATTCATGAGCATAAACAAAGAAGGTCACCTTGCGAGTTGAGGAATTTGGGGAGCTAGGTGGAGACTTTGGTATATCATCAGGATCCGAGTCACGGCGAGTCAGTCCTTGACTAAGTGAAATCGAAGTTGATTCTTTGTTCTCTGCCATTTCCTTTCTTCACCTCTTCAATTCAATTCCGTCACTTCTCCTTTCTTATCTGGTAAACTCTTTTTCCTTGTTGGTTTGGTTTGACCTTGTTTGGATACACGACTAACTATATTCCACTTTAGATATAGAACTATCTTAGTCTGACTTCACCAAACAGGGTTAAAAAGCTAAAATTGTCTTTTAAAATTACATTACCGTGGTAAAAATGGCAATATGAAAGATGGAATAAAACCCTGTTTCAAGCCAAGCATTTGTGCTCTTCGTTTACAGAGTTAGCTAAAACCCTAAAACGAACCAGTCTAAGCTCCACCGCCATCAATGGCAGATCAACACCAACAAACCACCACCATCTCCAAAACATTTCCTGTAAAAGCTAAACTAAAACCCAAACCAAGAACTCCATCTAAAACACCAGAATCCAAATATTGGTCCTCCTTCAAATCCCACGAAATCCAAAACCTGATCTCTTCGATACCTTCAATAGCTTTCTCTCCTGTATCTTCCTCTCATCTCTTTGCTGCCGCCAATTCGACCTCCGTCACTCTCTTCTCCTCTCAAACCTTCTCTCCTACCTCCTCTATCTCCTCCTTTAGGGACGTAGTTTCTTCTTGCTCGTTCCGCTCCGATGGGTCTCTTATCGCCGCCTCGGATCTTTCTGGTCTTGTCCAGGTCTTCGATGTCAAGACTCGCACTGCACTTCGTCGGCTTCGGTCCCACACTCGTCCGGCCAGGTTTGTTAAGTACCCAATTCTTGATAAGCTCCATTTAGTATCTGGCGGCGATGATGCCATTGTTAAGTATTGGGATGTTGCAGGAGAGATTGTTGTTTTAGATTTGTTGGGTCATAAAGATTATGTTAGGTGCGGAGATTGCTCTCCAGTTAACGGAGAAATGTTTGTTACTGGGTCTTATGATCATACTGTTAAGTTGTGGGATGTAAGAGTAGAGAATAAAAAATCAGTAGTTGAAGTAAATCATGGAAATCCAATAGAAGATGTAATGTTTTTGCCTTCTGGTGGAATGATTGCAACTGCAGGAGGGAATACTGTAAAAATATGGGATTTGATTGGAGGAGGGAAATTGGTGTATTCATTGGAGAGCCATAACAAGACAGTAACATCTATTTGTGTAGGGAACATAATGGGAAAAGAAAATGGAGAAGAAACAATGCAATATAGGATTATGAGTGTAGGTTTAGACGGGTACATGAAAGTGTTTGATTATGCCTCAATGAAAGTTACTCATTCAATGAAGTTTCCTGCTCCACTTATGTCAATAGGGTTTTCGCCCAATTGTATGGCAAGAGCTATAGGAACTTCGAATGGGATAATCTTTGGTGGGAAAAGGAAGTTGAAGGAGAATGAAGAAGAAGAAAGAGGATTAAGGTTAGGTGATTTTACAGGGTTAGGAAACGTAGAGAAGCCGAGAAGGCAGGTATTGAGGCCGAATTATTTTAGGTACTTCTACAGAAGTCAAGGAGAAAAACCAAATGAGAGTGATCATTTGATAATGAAAGGAAAGAAGGTGAAATTGACAGAGCATGATAAGTTGTTGAAGAAATTTAGGCATAAAGAAGCTTTAGTTTCTGTATTACACGGTAAAAATCCAGAGAATGTGGTACCTGTAATGGAGGAATTGATAGCAAGAAGAAAGTTATTAAAATGTGTCTTGAATTTGGATCAAGAAGAGCTTGGATTGTTATTAGGTTTCTTGCAAAAGTACTCAACTTTGCCCAGATATTCTAGTTTGTTGATGGGCTTGGCAAGAAAAGTACTTGAAATAAGAAGTGACGACATTAGAGCTTATGATGGATTGCAAGATCATATTAGAAATATGAAACGCTCAGCGGAAGAAGAAATTAGAATTCAACAGTCGTTACAGGAGATACAGGGTATAATTTCTCCTTTGTTGAGGATTGCTGGAAGAAGATAAAGATGATAGCATATTTGTGTTGTAAGGTACTCTTGCAATCTCTTTTGATAGAAAACTCTTGCAATTTTGTTTTATGTTTTGATTTGGAATTGTTTTATGAATGTTTCAGATTTTTTCTTCTTTTTGGGTAGGATTATATTTTGAAAACTCTTACTTTCTTTTGTAATTGTGGCTGGCCAATATGATTTTGTATCTGGGTTACTGATGGGAAATTATTAAGAAAGAGAGTTCAAACAGGGAAATCGCTAAATTTGACAATGTAGTTGGCTGTACGGTCCTAAACATGATTCAGTTTTTGGATTTATTTTCCTGTTTCTATCTTTTTCAAGTATTGCTATAAAAATCAATCAGTCGAGAAATTTTTAGGTGAACAAAACTACTATAGTCTAGTTCATATGCTATGTGATAGAACAAGTCCATATAAAAATTTCTCCAATCTTTGATGGAAGACATTTGAGCTTATCTTGCATGGTAAAAAACAAAAAAATTGTCTTGAAGTAATTTATAATATTTTGCATTTCTGTGTTTCTAATTTATGATATCTTTGCTTATATGTAGCTTTCATTTTTATGATTTATAGTGTATCAGTTGAAATTATGATCTTGTTAGGTGTTTTAATTTTTTTTTTTTTTGCTTTTTGTTGTTGCTTCTCGTGCGTGAATCGAAGGATCTATTTTCTGCTCATTGCTTTTATTAATCATTTTCTGTTTGAGGTCAGTTCATGGGTTTTGAGCGTAACCTCGCTTGCTGGTTTTTGCTCATTTGCGTATAAACTCCTTGGTAGAGAAGTAGAAAGAGAAATTGAATAACATAATGTAACATTTGAACCACAGATGTTTCAAGGCTTCAATCTTTTAAAGTAAGGCAATTATGTAAAATTTGCAACTGAAAATTAATGTTGGAGGGACATCTCCTTGGACAAAACTCTTCTGCTTTGGTTGTCTGGAAATTTTAGGAAATTCTGCAACTAGAATTAGTTTCGAGTAATTTGATCACCTATTTAATTGTAATGGTGACTGACTATATGCTGCTTTCTCTAGCCTTGCAAAGCTGGAATGATGAAAATACATTTTTCACTCATTGTTTTCCCTAATGTTGCCAAATCCTTAATTGGTTGATTGTCTGGTTAAGATCTAGAGCATTTTCATAATTTTATTTACAGCTAAATGTGGTTTACTATGTTATTATGTTGTAGAAATTAAGCATTTAATTTCAGAGAATCATGTGTACCTATGTGGTCCGGCTGTTCACCTCTCGGAAAGGTTTTGCTTATTTGATTCAAAGGGCACTACTAAACTACTGTAGTACAGCTACTAACCAATCATGGAGCTACCAGACTCCAGATCACTAAAAGGAACAGAAGACTTTAGCAAGCCACCCAATGTATAAGGACTTGTTTGCAATTTTCCAGGGACCTATCCGTAATTTCCACCTAAGCAAGATACGTTTGACCCAACGTTAGGATTACTTGGAGATATCTTCTCTGTATATCTCGCTTGGGTGGTTGAGCTTAACAGGATCTATCCCTGGCTATAAAACTCCATCCCCATTCATTTTTATTGACTGAGGTTTAGTATTGTAAGCATTACAAATTTTATACAAAAAACAGTTCCAGCTCAGTTATTATTATATTTCTGATTGAATTCCCTTTCTATTTAATTTGACAACCATCACTATGTAGTATAACAACCTAACTGTTTTTACTGTTTTTGCTTTTTTCTGTATGGAACTGAGGCATTTGAGAGGCTTATAAGCAAGGTGTATGTGATATATCGTGCCTAACCATTGCTATTTTATATGATTAGTTTGTGAAATGCATATCTGTTATCAATTAAATAGCAGTATATTAATTTTGCTGCTTTGCTTGCGTAAATTTTCTGGCACAGGAAAAATTGCATGATCTCAATGTTGTCGCCAGGACCTCAGCTAGGCGAGACCTAGGCGCCTGGTATACAGTCAGGCAAGGCTATATATATTTAACAGGCGCAGCAAGTTTCAGCCTCAAACAGAAATTTCAATTTTCCATAAAGATATTAAAATCTCAAGTTAACATTTAATAGAAAGTTTGACAGCTTTTTAATATAATTAGGTCAAAATTTAACACAAATATGGGGAAAAAAGTGGCTGAAAATTGGAAACTTTGACAGCCATTAAATAAAAAGATCAAAATTTAATCTAACCATTAAAATGAAGTATAAGAAATATGGGAATAAAATCTTATAAAAAAAAAAAAGAAAAAAAAAGAAAAGCGTTTAGGCTTTCTCCTTCATGAGTAGACAAAGCTGAACTCAATGTAAAAGAAGAAAAGTTCTTAGGAATTAGGATTTAAAGTTTACATGGCAGACTTTGGATTATTGAATATTTCATCTAGAATTCTAAATTATTTAATGTGCGTTTTGAAATTAATCTCTGGAGCATAATTCTAATTCTAAATAATAGCACACCAGATCAATTGACAGTATAGATAAATAGCACCATTTTTGAAGACTAGGGAAGGTTTGATAAGCTACAAAAGCCGGAGTGAGCTGTAGGCATTGGTTTTGTTTATTGTTTCTGGAATGATAAATGAAAGCACTTGTTTGGGTTCGTTTATGAAAGTTCTTTAGGAGTTTGTGAGTCTTCGTTCATTTGTTTCAGCCTGCAGATTTGGTTGATTTAAAATTTTATTTTAACTTATTTTTTATATGACATGCATTGCATATTGACTACACTCATTATGTACTCATTTTTTATCTATATAATATTAAATCACAAGTTTTGTTTAGATTAAAATAAATATAAGTGGTTAATTCGTATTATACTTGCAATGCTATTTATTATGTGCTTAATTCTATTTTTATATAATGAAATGATCTTAGAGTAAAGTTCAATCCAATCGTTAGACCTAATCCTTTAGTCCATAATTTATAAATGCAAATTTTTTAAAACTCTAATAGGTGCTCAAAAAGAAAATCAAGTTGTCACTCAATTTCTAACTCTTTGCCCTTAACTCCAAATCAATATTTATATACAACTATAATGAAGAATAATAATAAATAGTAAAAGAAAAGAATGAGAAGATGATCTAAATTGATAATGGATATCACTTTGACCATAGCGACAGTATTACTTACCTAGTGTATCAAAGAAATATATGTACATACATACACATTCTTGAAACCCAAAAAGTGACCCAAACAGAAATATATAGTTCTATTTTTTTTCAATTTCCTAAACACTATTTTCTTTTAAGTCAAACATATTTAGGATCTGCGAGAAAAATATTAAGAAAATTAAAAATACTTAACCATTAATAGGCCATCTATTTATTGCAATGGAAATATAAATATCTTACTAATTTAAAATGATAGTAGTTACAAATTATTCGGTAACGAAAAAGAAAATAAAAAATTATTATTACAAATAAAATTCTTTCAAAACTCACCTAAAAAAACATCTCAACGTGTATAGATATATAAATATATTAATAAAATATTATATTTTTTAAAATTAAATTTCAATTGTTTACCATCTCATGTTTAATTATATAAATTCTATTTGAAAATTTACTTTTTTAAAAATATATCCAATCAAATACGATAAACATAAAGAAAAAAATTTTAATAAAATAATATACTTTTTATTCTTTTTTTATCTCTCTCCTAAACAAAATATTTTATATATTCAAGACATATTTAGGATCTGCGAGAAAATATACAGAAAATATAAAAATACTTAACCATTAATCAGCCATCTATTATGCAATGGAAAAATAAATATCTTAACTAATAAAACATGATAGTAAGTTAAGAGAATTATTCCGTACGAAAAAGAACGAAATATAACCAATATTATTACAAATAAACTTCTTTCAAAACTCACCAAAAAGAACGTCAAACGTGTATAGATGATTATAAATTATAATAAAATACTGAATATTGTTTAAAATTAGAATTTCAATGTTTACCATCTCATGTTTAATTATATAGAATGCTATTTTGAAAATACTTTTTAAAAATATATCCAATCAAATACGAAAACATACACAGAAAAAGAATTTTATAAAATAATAAGTATGCTTTTTAATTCTATTTATCTGCCCCTAAAACAATATTTATATATATATAATATATATATATATATATATTTATATATATATATATATAATTAGTCCCAAAAAATTAATAATTTTTATTTATTGTTAAAATATACTCGAATCATATCGTACAAATATAAATATCGTACAAATATAAAGCAAAAAAAAGTATATTTGCTTTCTTTTGTTTCATCTATAACCTAAAAGAATTAAATATTTAATAAATAAAATATAAAAAATTTTCAAATGTCTTGTTAATTAAAAATAAATTTAGTAAAAATTAAAATTTTGAAATGTTTAATTATATATATGTATTTATTTAAAAAATTATTTTTTCGATTTATTAGGAGACTTGATGGATCGAAATAATACTGCGGGCTACATAACAATCAAATTGGTAAGTCATATAACAAAAGAAACGTTTCAATGTATATGGATATATGAATATATCAATAAAATATTATTTGTAAAAAATTAAAATTTTAATTGTTTACCATCTTAGATTTAATTATGTAAAATCTATTTGAAAATTTACTTTTTAAAAAATATATCCATTCAAATCTTACAAATCTATTTGAAAATTTACTTTTTAAAAAATTTGAAAATTTACTTTTTAAAAAATATATCCATTCAAATCTTACAAATATAAAGAACAAAAATATTAATAAAAATAATATACTTTTTTTCTTCTTTTTTATATCTCTCCAAAATAAAATATAATACACATTCTATTTGAATTTTTTTTTTTTTTAAATATCTAATCATATCATACAAACATAAAGAAAAAAATAATATATTTTCTTTCTTTTTTTATATATTTCCTAAAAGAATTCAATATTTAATAAATAAAATATAAAAATCTTTAAATATCTCATTATCATATATATACATTAAAAAATAAATTTAGTAAAAATAAAACTTAAAATTTTGAAATGCTTAATTATTTATATATATTTTATTTAAAAAATAATTTTAAGTTACGAAAGGTTTCGAACTCAAGACTTTTCACTCCTCACATTAGTAAAAAGACAATCATACTACACATGATTAGCATAAAAAATAATTTTTGCAAATTATATCCAATCAACTAATAAACTGTAATTTTTAATTGACTATTATTAAGATATCCAATCAACTAATAAACTGTAATTTTTAATTGACTATTATTAAGAGTATTTTAGAACATTTTAAATTTCATTAAGAGTGATATAGAAAATTTTTTTCCTGTTAATTCCGGTTCCTTCCATTTCAATCGTATTAGCTTTTTATAGTCAGTGCTTGTCTGTTTTTAGACTAGGATTCGACTGGGGAGAATTGAATTCAAAATCATATTATAAAAGTCAGAAGTTCCCTTCTTGAGGTTATTAGAAGAAAACAGCAATAACAGTGACTTAATTATATTTGTGGTGTTCAAACTTTTTAATTTTTTTTTTATTTGAATATCTGAATTTGAAAAAGAAAATTGTGATTGAATATCTGAACTATTTAAGAATGCGTTTGGCTAGATTATTTCGCCATAAATTAAAGTTGAACATTTTACTTAATAGATAGTATCAAATGTAAATATCTATTTAATTTATCTCTTTTTGCTTATTATTATTATTTTTTAATTTGTCATTATCTTATATCTCTTCTCTAAAAAGAAAAATTAAACTAATCTCAAAATATTTCATTTAATCTTCTTTCGATTTTAAAACAAAATAAAGAAAAAGAGACAAAAAGAAATAAGACAAAAAGGTAATAACTTGTAAAATGGTAAAATAAGACAATTCAGTTACGATCTTTCGACAGAAAATCAAATTTCAAATATACTTAGGTGTATAAAATTTATTTTTGAGTAAATTTTATATTCCTCGTAAAAGGGTCAAACTAAGAAAAGTTGATTGTCTTGCATAGGATAGATCATAAATTCTCAAAATACATAACAAATTCGAGGTGCTTACGACAGACTATTATGATTTTATGAAATACGCTGTAGAAGAAATGAAAAAAGCTTTGAATTTTATCTAGGTTTCTATTACCCCCAGTTTGAAAAAGACAAATTTTATAAGAGTTCAATTCAAAATTGTGAAATTTCATATTTTGGTAATAAGATAGTTTGCCATGGTTGGTTCGTCAGTTGTTCAAGCTCTTGCTCACAGTTAGCTTGATTTGTTAATTGTTCTCAATAAAGAAGGATTTGAGCAAGTCAATGACTTAAAAAAAAAATTATAGAATTATTTATTTTTATCATTTAATGTGCTAAAAGAAAAAAAATATGATAAGGAAAATTAAAATATTTTAATTATTTAATAATTAATTTTAACATAATAATACCTTAATCGTTCTTTAAATTATAAAATTTCGAGTCAAAACTTTGATAGGAGATAAGTTAACGAAAAAAAAATGATTATTTGATTTTTCTTAATCGAAATGTAGAAAGAAAATTATAGTATATACTAAAGACTGCATTTAGTTGGCTAACTAGTCAAAATCCATCCATAATTGAAAGCCTACCGTTCTCTAAATGAAAGCAAATTAAATTCTTAAGACGGAAAAAATGTTAATCCCATTAATCAGATGATAAACATTTTAGTCACGTACTAAATTATTCTCAAGAAGAAAAAGTTAATCACACAATAACCAGCTTAATCCACTAATAATGACTTATAGTTTTTCATAGTTACAGAACTAAA